CTGAAATATATGAAAGTTTAATTTTTATCATTACATTATGAAAAATAATGACCTTTATCACAATATGCTAATTTTTTGAGAAGGACCTTTATATATATATATATATATATATATATATATATATATATATATATATAGGGCGGGTTTTCGTGTGATGGGGTGGTTTTAAATGGACTTTTGGGCTGGAAAACCACGACTTTTTATGGGAACATTGCTTGTACCTCAATAAACACTTTAATGTTTCTGTCTGCACCTAACCTGTTTTAGAACTTAATTGTTGGTATTTTTAAATTCTCTGTTATTTTTTATATTATCTGTTATTATTTTTTTATATCTTGTGTGATTCTTGTGTATGTTCCTTTGTACTGAAACTCTGGCACAACAATTTCCTGCAGGATCAATGAAGTTCTATCTTATCTTATCTTACTGTATCTAATAGTGGAGGATAGAAAATGTGAATGCACGTTAGGAACACTGTTCAAGACTTTAAGTGTTAAAACAGGTTTCCGTTATCTTAGATTCTTTGGGGTGGACAAAGTTTAACATTTTTCAATTCAATTTCAATTTTAATTCAGTTCTTTTATTAGAGCTCCAAGTCCCAACAGAAGTTGTCTCAGGACACTGAACAAAAACATTCACATACATGAAAAAGCCAATTAGTAAAAGTTATTGCAGATTGTGTTGAATCGTCACAGTCTCCCATCGAGCAGCACAAAGGCAACAGTGGAAAGGAAAAACTCCCTTTTAACAGGAAGAAGCCCCCAGAATATTCAGATCCAGATCATGCTCAGCCATTATATTGGTTATCAGTATTAGCCCCCTCCTAATATCGGTATCATGATAGACTACATTTCCATATCGGCTGGGGCTCTAGTACTAATTAATAAACAGAGTAACACTAGTGTGATAACATTCAGCAGTCAAATAACAGTGTGATAACATTCAGCAGTCAAACAACAGTGTGATAACATTCAGCAGTCAAATAACAGTGTGATAACATTCAGCAGTCAAATAACAGTGTGATAACATTC